ATAAGTAAAAGAATAAACTTCTACATTGTTCAGCAATAAATACCACGTATACATGTAAAGAGCTACCAGGAAGCCTGCGAGTCGAGAATATGCCTTTCGTGTTATGTTTATATAATCAAAATTCAGTTGCATCTTGCATTGAGTCGCCTTTGTATCATTTCAAGTAGAAGGTGTAATCTACAGGTATCTCAAATCCAGTGGACATATGGTGCTATTTTATGGTAAAAATATTATTTCTAAAACATTCCAAAACTCTCGTACAAATGTATGACATTAACAGGACTTAAAAGAGAAGGGATAGCACATAAAGCTTTTTCCCCTGAAACAGGCAGTGGGGAGTGATGATGTAGCCATGATGACACTGAGTGCGGAGATGCAATTGACAACTTAGAAATTAGCGTTTTAAATCTGAAGAACCAGCACTTAAAATGAGCTGTGTATGAAAGATAGCTATAATTTAGAAGAGACAATGTTACTGCAGTATGCATTTTACACTGAACATTAAAAAATTTAATAGTACTTACTCAATTTTAAAATAACAGATAAAATGCACTACTCTTAGCATAAAGTTCCTTTTTTTTTTAATTTGCAGGGATTTTTTTTCTTTAAATGCCTGTTTATTTCTAATAATTTCTTTATCTGCATGTTAACTAAGAGAACTGTACTACTGCTTCTAAGATAACAGATAAGATCTACTATAACAGCTATTTAACATTAATCAAGAAACAACCTTAAATTGGTATAGTTTTCAAAATTTCTGCTAATCTAAGTTTAAGTTTCAGCCTAATTGTAAATTTTACATTGGCATATTTTCTTCCGATTCAATATAATAACATATCTTTTTTTAAATAATTTTGTAACTTAACATCAATATTATATTTAAATAAATGCATGAAGGATTTCTATCCGAATTTAGACAAAACAACTTTACTCACAGTACCTAAAATAATTATTGAATTTTTCAAAAGTGGGGGTTAAGGAGGCAGGTTTTCTTATTCCAATTACTTTAATGTTATATTATTATATTTTATCTAGATTGCTGAGCTAGCACAAAATCGAATCAATAATAACACAGGATACAATAAAAATAACTTTAACAATAACTTAACAAAATTATTTCTCATTTGAAATATGCTTTACGCTATTAACTTCTAAAATGTCATCTAGAAATATTTCAAATCAAAACATATTATATATGCTTACTTGTACAGTCACAATGCAACTACAAGTTGTTGAATATTATTATTGGCTACCACAATTCAAAGCAATCCACTTTTTTTGCCTTTTGGGTTGCTTTTCTTTGGGGAAAAATATATGCATTTCTATTTAAGAAACGTATTCTACGGAGCTCTTATGACAATGCAACGTGAAATATCTTCACTAGTCTACCTGATATTTTTCCTTCTTTTCTAGCAATGCATCAATCTGCGTCTTTGTAAAAATATGCTTTAGACGTTTTTCCAAATTCTCCGATCTGTGTTGTTTTTTCTTAATTTCGCTGTTTGGGATTTTAATTTCTGAATTTCTGATGCAAATTTCGTTCTAGATGTCGTCCACCTTCTCTGTCGCTGAGCAAACATTCTAAAAACGTTCTTTTCTCTATTTTTCAATATTTCATTGCAATTTTCTAAGGATATTATTTTGTTTTTCAAATTATTAATACATTCTTGTTTATCTTTACACTTAGGTCATTCAGGGTTATTGTCACTTAGGGCATTGTCACTTGTGAATTTTATTTCAAAATCATTCACATTTAATTTATTATTGTCAGCTTCAATTTCATTCTTGGCCTCAAAATAAATTTTCTTTGGGCTTAATTCGTGTAGTCTTTCAAAAGCACTCTGCATTAGTTTTCTTTTCAAATGTCTCCGATTTCTTGGTGTTATTTCGTTTACTGCACACGATAAATTTACTTTCGGCACAGTATTGCATTTCAACAGTTTCTTTTGCGGAAATCCATACAAGCGATTTCGGTACTTACGTATTATCGCAACCAGGTTGGCGCTATTTGTAAGTTTGAGTAAAAAAATATGAATAGAAAGAAAATGTACATTTATTAATTACAGATAATTTTTAATACAGTTTTTATATTATTTTGTTTTTTAAAAATAAAATAGCAATTAAACCCAGAGTAAAAAATATGAATAGAAAGAAAATGTACATTTATTAATTACAGATAATTTTTAATACAATTTTTTTATATTATTTTTTGTTTTTAAAATATAAATAGCAATTAAACCCTTCCGGTTTCGAATTTGAATAAGTTGCAGAATTATTTTTTTTCAGCGGAAATCTTTTGGCTATTGCTTTTAGCACTGATTGAAAACCGTATTCGCCATAACCATGTACACATCGACTTATTTTTACTTAAAAAAACATCCCAGAATTGCACAAAAATGTCATTGCGCACACTCTCGACTTTATCCATGTACACTGCTATTTTCTTATAAATTACAAAAATTTGCACAAAAATGCAGGAAAATTTTGTGAATCTCCACATGCTCTTTTTACAAAACTACGTGTAACACGTAGGGTTGTCGTAAGTAGGGTTGCCAAATTTGGCAATTTATGCGAATTTTGGCCTGGTTGCGTTAATACGTAAGTACCGCGATTTCTCATGTCATCTTCATAATCACTGCATTGATAATGATGGCCACTAATTCCTGCGTTTCTCACATTAATAGAATCCTGTCTTCGACATTTATGTATCCATTCTTTTGACAAAAGCAAATTGTCTTTTGGGAAAGCATGAAATTCAATATCTCTTCCTTTCATATTTCTATAAGTGTTACGGCACGTTGCTACAGCACAAGAGGCCATATTACATAAAGGATACTTTAAATATAGAATTTAAAAGGAAAACTGACTAAAACTATATATATATATATATATACAAAAATTATTAAATATTTGCATTATTAGAAAACAAATATGTATGATTAAAATTAATTTGGGATATGGGACCTTCAGAAAATCGTCTCGCAACTAAATGAAACTACAGTTTTAAACACGCGAAATCGGAGCAGGTGCAACACAGACACGTCAGATTACTTCCAGTTCCCCCTCTCCATGAGGCTAGCGTCGGCGAGGAGTCGAACAAAGGAATGACCTAGCCCTTCTATTTATCCCTGTGACATTAAGGATGAATGAGAAAAACGCTGTGTATGCCAAGAGTGCTTGCTAGAAAATGACTACATTTCATGTCGACATGTCCCCCTGACAGTTGGCACGAAAGGGTTAAGTGCGTTTCATTGAAATTGGAGGAATTAGTTCCAGCATTAAGAACTTTTCAAAACAATACCTGCTTTGTCCACAGGAATGCACAAAATATGGTAATAGTTATTGTGTGAAAAAGTGCTCATTATGTGATTTTAACTCTGCTGTCTAGGTTAGGTAATATAGCTTTCTAGATTTTCATTAATTACTGAATATACTAATTTATAATCAAACAATTTCTCCTTTAGATCATGAAATTCTTCTTTTGGAGGGGGGTATTCAGTGTGTTTAAGTGGTGAGAACATTGTGTTTAGATGCAGTTAACTTTATATGCTTGTAATTTAATGGTATCAAAATGACCTAAAATAATGTTTTAATGCATCAGCAACATTTTTATTACATACTGAATGTATATGCTATTGAGTGTAACAAAGTTTTTCGGGGAATCGATGGTTACCAATTGGAAAAAAATAATAAAAAATCTTAGTTATGATATTTTGACAAATTGTAGTAGTTTTTTTCTATGCATTTGTTGCTTTTATTTGGAATGAATTTGTATGCAGCAGTGTGTATGTTGTTTATGTAAGAAGACTAGATATGAAAAACAAAATTATAATTCTCTTCATGATGATTGTGCATAAATGGTGGTGACAATCGCATTAGAGAGGTGGAAATCAGTACTGGTATTTATTTATGCTCTCGGAAATACTGGTCTCTTGGAGAGGTGGTCATCACGATTTTGTATTTTGAATTATTGCGTTTTCAATATGAAGACTACAATAATGGTTTGTAAAACCTAGACTAATGATAATAATGGTTTTTATAGACCATTAATCTTTGTAATAGTAATATGAAGACTAAAGAATACAATAATTGTTTATATTCTGTGATAAATTAGATAAAGTTGGGAAGTCAACGTAATCAAACCATAATAAATAAATATTTTTTTTTAATCTGATGGATGTCGTAATAAATAATTTGTTAAAAATATTTTATCTCAGAAAGAGCACACCGTAAGCAAAATAGATCAATAATTCTTAATTCAAAAAGTACTAAATATTATCTTTTGGTGTATGAATAACATTTAAAAATTTATTTCTTGCATGTGGAAAGATACTTTTCCGCTGTGCATCTGTCATGCATTTCAACAGTTTTTTTAACTGTAAATAGTTTCTAGTTATAAGAATAGTTGTATAGCAAACACACAGATATACAGAATGGTAGATGATGGCCATCTGCCATATCATCACCAAATAGATGCCACACCACAATGCGTCACAAATGTACAAAGAAAAGTATTGAAATTTTTGTTAAGTTTTTGGTCATTAAATCAATAAACACATCACTGCTTAATTAATTGTGCATGGTTGAAGTACGTATTTGTTGTCAAGCAATGAAGGTTACCATGCTGAAAAATGTGTGCACGCGTGAAGCATTGACTTTTCTAAAGCAAGATGTTATTCAATTATTTACAGGAAACAAGCCGAACCAAATTGGCACTGCCTCCCATCGAAAAAATACGTCAAAACAACAACAACAAAGCATTAAGTGGTATGGTTTTAATGATAAAGAATGAAATGATTTAAAATTAGGCAAAAAAGCAGCCTTGGGCTGGCGTAGATTTTTGAACAAACTATTAATTTTGAGGGGCAGTTCGACATGGATCCCTCTTCAGAAGCAGAATTATTTTTTTCTTCCAAATAGTATGAACCTTGAGGAAATTGAGATCTGTCATATAATTATTATGAACCTGTATATTCTGTAACTTTTCCTTCATTTTACAGATGCTGAAACATGGAAGGGCTGGAGTTCCTATGGAAGTCATGGGTCTTATGCTTGGAGAATTTGTTGATGACTATACTGTGCGTGTTATTGATGTTTTTGCTATGCCACAGTCAGGAACAGTGAGTATTTTTTCAATTAATGTTAATGATAATCCTTATGTAATTTGCTAGAAACTTTTTCTATAGATGTAGTAATATTTAATTACACTGTAAGCTCTTTTAAGTTTTTTTGACTGATGTAGCCTAGTTGTATTCATTTATTTATTTATTTTTATTTATTTATTTATTTATTTTGAGAGCGTAATCATTTTGGCTAAGTTTTCATATCTGATGTCTGTCTGCTTTTAGTGTTTCAGATTGCAAACTAAAACTAATTTTAATACTTCTGTGAAGCTCTAAATATGTGCCATTAACATTTGATAATGAGGTAGTTGGACGTTGCTCAGTTTCATTGCAGGGAAATGAAAAGCATTTTATGTGGATTAAAACAGTAAAATTTTGATTTTTACCTTGATGAATTCTAAAAGAATTTTAATGTCTTCAGCAAGAGTGCTGAAAAGAAATACAATAAAACCTCAGTTCACAAATTTAAATCAATCCTGAAAGTGTTTGGCAACTTAAATGTTTGTAAATCGAAACAACTTTCCCTATAGGAATTAGTGTAGAATTGATTATTTAGTTTCCTGGGAAATAGATTATTGCTTATTTAAACTTTACAACAATATTTTGTGCACAAAGTCATAAACCAAAAGCAATAGAAATCATTTAATATAAAACAAAGATAAATACAATATTAATTGGACAAAATAGACAAAAACTTAATTTTGATGTACTTGTATGAAGAAGAGTGGATAACATAAGTGGAAAATACTGAGAAAAATGTTATTGTTTGAATGTGAATTTTCATATTTACTCTTCGCATTCACACTTTGCATTCTGGTGAGTGATGTTCAGCTTGTGAGCGGCAACATGACCATGGATTCCCAGGTTTTTTAACTCTTGCTGAATAGTACTACTGCTAACACTAGCACCTGAACTTTGGAACTCCTGAATGATTTCAACCAACGAGGACTTGCGATTTTGTTTCAGTAGCCTTTTCAGAGTTCTGTGGCTGCATTTCCTAATTTTTCTTGGCCTGCCACTTTGTTTTTTTGCAATTTCACTGCTTTGCCGTTTTCACTTCACAATTACATAATGCATATTTTTTTGCATTATGTAATTGTGAATAGAATGTTCGAAATTTCACCAACTGATTTCCCACAAAGGTGGAATCCCACTGTACTGTCATAATCAGTCACTAAGCTCCTTTGATTACTCATTATCTCACAAATACATAAATATGACCAGATAAACCACTACCAACACTTTTATAGTTTTTGCTTACACATTAAATTACATTAACTGCCAGATGCTCTTCTTTAGGAAAGTGTCTGAATACTTTTGTCCAGATAGTGTATTCATTTTATTTGTGAGTAGCTTTGCAGTAAAACACTTTCAGAATAAGTAGTGCACTCATAAGATATTCAAAATACCATTCTGAAGCTGTTTTTCAGTAAAATAAAGATATGTTATATAAAGTTTAAAGATTTTTTAATATTAAAGATTTATTAATATGTAAATTTTTTATTAATATTAAGATATATTTATTGATAAGATTTAAAATTTATTGTGAGTTAATGAGAGTATTGTGGATGATGCAGGTTGATTGAAGTCAGTTTACCGCGAGTTAGTTATTTTCAACCATGAAAGTTAACTACCATTAAATCATGACACTTGGTGGAGATGCCATCATCCAGTCATTCCTTCAGAATTCTGAAATAACTGATGCCACTCTCTTCAATAAACAATCAGCTTTCATCTCACTTTGTTTTTATACTTCATGAAATGCTTTTGTTCATATCTGCTGTTTTGTTAGCCCCTCCAATTTTGCTTGAAGCTTTGTTTAGAATGCTATGAGTACATGCATGTTCCAGTCTATTACTCTTTTATTGACCATATTCAACTGACCGTATCATGTACACTTTTTTTTAAATGGCAGAGTTCCATAACTGTGGAAAAAATAATCTGCTTGCAGTTTTGTAGAAGGCAGGTCTCAAATTTTAAACATTTTTCCAAAAATGCAATAAAAAATTCAGTAAGAGTAGCTATTTTGTATCTTTGATCATAGAACCAAAATGTGGCTAATTGAGAATTAGTGAGGGCTACATCAAATGAAAGTGCAAATGTTATGAGTGTGCTATGATGTCAGTTAACCATAACAGGTATTAAATTACTTGGTGACAGTCACAGTCAACAGTGTAATATATAAGTACCTGTCTTTTTAGGATTAAATAAATAAATAAAATGCACAGTAAAATTCTCCTTATCTAACATTCAACTGATTAAGGTTAGGGTCCTATTCCTGCTGTTTCCCTTTCTGTACTCAAAAAAAGAAAAAAAAAAAGAAAAAAGAAAAAACTTTGCTATGTTGCAGAACATTGGGAAGTACATGATTAATTATAAACTGTAATTATATTTCATATTTTTAGTCATATTATAGGTCTTGAAGTAAAACCTCATAAAACTATGTATTATTCATGTGCTGTTCATTGGCCACTGGTGAAATAATTATGCTTGGTGATATGATTCAAAAATTAATTTGTTCATTTTCATTATAGGGTGTTAGTGTTGAAGCTGTAGATCCAGTTTTCCAAGCAAAAATGTTGGACATGTTAAAGCAAACTGGCAGGTAAATGAAACACATGTTTTTACTTTAAAATTGCATTTTTTATTTGAATTAAAATATAATCAAGTCTATAATATATCTGCAGTAATTTTCATTTAAAACACACTGTGTATTCAAACAATATGGACAACTGTTCTTTTCAGCTAAAAAGAAAAAATTGTATAACATAATGTGTAGGAAATTTTTTATATAACTCTACATTTTAATAAAGCAGGCACATTTATACTATTTTCACCAAACACATTAATAGTATTTCATAATACCAAACACAATAACAGTATTTCATAATTTATGTATAGTGTTCTCTAATAGCCTGGCTGTCTTATTTATTTGTATTTACTTAAATTGTATATATTTTCTTCAAAAACAGAAATGAAGTATTGTCCTTTGTACAATAAAATCAAATATACTGTATATTCCAAGATGTAATGTGCACCTACAATCCCAAATTACAATGTAAAATTTTTAGGTATGCTTGCTATATAACATGCACCTTTTTTTTTATGAAGAAACCTGAAAGATGCATGTGTGATGCTTTTATCTTTAGAAGTCATTCATTCGAAGGTTTCTATTTAGACCAAGGATTTTAAAGTGAACATCGAAGACTTGTATTTGCTTTAATTAAAATACTTGATCTAGTGTTCCTTTTAGTAGTAAATATGGCACCTGTGAAATGCAAAAAACACAGTGGTGGTTTCAAATGTCAATCTGTTTGTCGTTCGGTTTGCGAGTCATTCTGTCATTCTGATAGTGAAAGAAAATGAAAATCATGCTGCAGCAAGGATCTTTGGTGTTGGTGAAAGCACTATACAGAAGTGGAAGAAAAATGAAATTGCAATAATTAATGTGCCAAAGAATAAATATGCTTTGCCTAAAGGAGTAGCAAAATGGCCTATTCTAGAAGAAAGTGTTGCCAAGTGGGTCCTAGAAAATTGCCAGAATGGTTTAATTGTAACAGGAAACGGCATAGGTTTATTCACTTTAAGATGGGCAAAAAAGAATGCAAATGAAAGTGAAAACTTGAAAGCGAGTTTGAGTTGGTGTAGTTAGTTTATTGCATGGAATAATTTAGTTCCACGAAAAGAAAAAGTTTCACAAAGGCTTCCAGATTTGGACAATAAATTGATTAAGTTTCCAGAAGTATGGTGTTGACCTATGAAAGCAAAAACAATTATTTACTGTCACATATTTGAAATAGGGACGACACTCAAGTAATGTTTGCTATGATAAGAAATAAGACAATATCAGAGGAACAAAGATAGTTCACATAAAAATAACAGGCCATGAAAAAATCTCACCTCCTCATAGATTTTTCTTGCTTAGTGCATAGTATAAAATCCATGGTTATTTTTAAAAGAAACACGATGCCAAAATTTTCCAAATTTCATCATGTTCACAAGAAGGGACGGATGGACAAAAGACGGTGTGAAACTGTGAATAAGAAATAATTGACAAAAGTGTCCAGTTGTCTTAAAGAATCCAAAAAGTTGGAAAAGTTTAATTTGGGATATGTTCAGATCCATCTAACAGATAATATGAAAAAATTGTTGAAAGAGTACATACAGACATGGAACTTATTCCAGGCAAATTAAAGTCATTATTTCAGCATTTAGATGTGTGTATTAATAAACCTTCAAAGAAAATTTAAAAATAGTGAAATGCTTGCACATTAGGAAATGAAAAAAATTTACGAAAGAAGGCCAAATGCATCATATCGGTTTCAGAAACAGTGTGTGAGTGGATAGTAAAAGCATGGAATGAAATTAAACCCGACGTAATTCAAAAGTCATTTAAGAAATATAGTATGTCTAACAATCTAGATAGAATGGAAGATGTTTATTTATTTATGAATCAGTTACAGTGATGGTGAAGATGAAACAAAATTCACCGATATATCTATAAAAATATAACAAAAGATGGATATGATGAACTTTTCATATTATCCGATGATGAAAATTTTTAAGTTCGTAAGATATGTCATTCCTTTTAAATAAACATAATTTAGGTACATGAAGAAATCTAATTTTTTTATGCTCATCTTTTCCTTACTTTTAAATCTACCATTTTTATATCTGGCGTATAATGCACACCAATAAAATTTGATCTTATTTTTTTTTGCATTGAAAGTGCATGTTATATGCCCAAATATATGGTATTTCATATGCATAAATTTGACTTATTTTGTATTTTCACATATATAATTTGCTTCTGTATTTTAAGGCCAGAAATGGTAGTTGGCTGGTATCACTCCCATCCTGGATTTGGTTGTTGGCTATCTGGTGTAGACATTAATACACAGCAGAGCTTTGAGGCTTTGTCTGAAAGAGCTGTTGCAGTAGTTGTTGATCCAATTCAGAGTGTTAAAGGAAAGGTAATTACTACTGATGATACAAATGCATTTGTATGCAACTCTCTTCTATATATTGACATATATGTATAAAATCACTTTTGCAGGTTGTAATTGATGCTTTCCGATTAATCAATCCAAACATGGTAGTTCTTGGTCAAGAACCAAGGCAGACTACATCAAATCTTGGTCATCTCACAAAACCATCTATTCAGGTAAATTAACATATATTAATTTTTTAATTGATGCTTTGATGAAGTGCGGTTAGTAATATGTGACATTTTTTTTAATAGGCTCTAATCCATGGTTTGAATAGGCATTATTATTCAATATCAATAAATTACAGGAAGAATGAATTAGAGCAAAAGGTAAGTTTAATAATGTATTTTAGCCATGTTACACAGATGTTAAACTTTAAAATTATATTAGTTTAAGGTATGTAACTAATATTTTCAGAAATTGAAAATTAAGTGAGCAATACAGTACAAAGTCTGAAATCCGGACATCCATTTTCCTGAATGATCTAAAATCTAGACCTCAAAACCACTAACAACATTTTTTCTCGTAGGCTTTACGCATGCACGTTTAATTCCACCCTCCACGCATAATAAAACATCTGGAGAGTCCCAATTCTTAATTTCATTTTGATGCTAAATAAAATACCTTGTTATCGAAGAAACAATCATTTTAGCATAAATTTGTAAGATCAGTAATTTGGCTTTGTTGCTGCATATCTGCTTGGCACACATCTCAAACTGAAACATTCCACGTGGATACATCGTTGATCTGACGCCAACCTGGCGAATCATTATTTATTATACTTAATTATTTATTATACTTAACCTTTCATCACTGCATTTTATAAAAACATGATAACTTGAGTAATGATTCATGTAGCGATGCCTAAACAATTTATGTTGGCAATTGAATAATAAAGAAGTATGGTAAACTTTTATGTTGTATTACGCTTGACGATGATTAAAGATTTAAGTTAAATGTGCTAAAGATGTTGACGAGGAGAAATTTACCCAAAATTTCTTTCCATATGCTGAAAATAGATTTTGTTGATGATACTCATAGACACAAAGATTATATTTATGGATATTTAAACTAAGAATAACTGATTTGTTATTCACACAAACCCAGAACCAGCGCCAGGGCTTGTATGTTTGCACCAAATCGCAGAATTTAGGACCCACAGAGACTGCATCAGGTGGTAAGATATCTAATGCCGGCTCTCAATAAGTATATGCATGTATATGTGGGAATTTATATATTCAAAACTTTCATAAGCCTAGTATGTGGAAGAAATAGACATAAGTATAATAAATAACTAAACATAATAATAAGCTTAGTATGTGGAAGAAATAGACGTAAGTATAATAAATAACTAATACAATTCAAGCTTATCTTGGTGCTCGAGAGAAGGTAAAATATACTGATAAATACTGATGATGATATCCGCGAATTTTAAAGGTTTGTTGGATATCGCAAAGCAAAGGTGAAATTTTCCAATTAACAGATTTTGTAAAGAAATGTGGAGAAGCAATAATAAATGAAGATGATATAAAAGAAGTTTTTCATTGTGATGACAATGCTTCTCATTCATCAATCAATTAACCTTTTGAAGAGTCCTCTCTTTGAAAAGACAGGGTTGTCCACTTTAGTGGCCATGTCTTTTTCCCCCATTTACCAGGCTGAAAAGTGGGGTGAAATGTCAAATATGACATCCTTGGGGTTTTAACCACTTATCTCTTTCAAAGGTCTTCCTTTTGCGACATAGATGACTTCTTAGAATCTATTAGACTACACACAAGAATCTTTGTTGCAATTAGGAGGTGATTTCTAAAAGGGGGGAAAGCATTCGGTTCAAGATTCCCCGTCCTTTGGTAGCTTAAGCCCCGGCCTCAAAAGGTTAATGAATGGTGAAATCTGTAGTATGGTTCTAGATCCAGAAAATACCCCTACCGATAGTGCAAAAAGTGACAGAGATGCTGCTGAAAATGAGAAAATTTTGATTGACAAGTTAGTCGGAATTCTCAAAACAGCAGTTACAGGACTTCAACAAAGTAACTAAACAAGAGATTATGTCTGTCTGCAGAATTAAAGAGAAAGTATTAGCACAAAAAACAAAGCAACTTAAACAATTTAGATTGAAAGAAATGTTTAATAAGGTAAACAAATAAATATTAAGGTTTTTTTTTTTTTTTTTGTAAATTTTGATACTCTTCAGATCATAAATACTTCATAAATCACGATTTCATATTTTTAATTTTATAATTTCTACTTGCCATCTTACTAGATTCAAACTTATGATCTAATACAGTCAAAAGTCTTTAATCCGGACTCGTCAGGACATCGGTGATTTCGGATTATAGATCATCAGTTTAAATCTGGTAGGATGCCATGCAGAAATTATAAAATTAAAAATATGAAACCGTAATTTATGAAATAAAGAGCAATTATAATCTAAACGGTATCAAAATTTACAAAAAAAAAAAAAAAAAAAAAAAAAAAAAAGCTTAATATTTATACTTTATTAAACATTTCTTTTAACGCGTGCATGCTTAAAGCATACATTACACATAGCCGAAATTAGAAAATTGCAACCAGAAAACTAGTATTTGATGTGCATTTGTGATATTTATAATGACGAAGGAATTTGATTTAAATCTTATCAAAGACTGAGTACATTGAGATGAAATACTTACATTTAGTAAGGAATTATAAAGCCGAATAAAATAAATAACATCTGCCCTGAAGATGAAGAATAGTGCTGACAGATCAAACTTCCAGTTTCATTGCGCGCGCGCGTATCCCCTCCCCCCCGTAGAGCAGCGTGAAATTGATAAACAGATTTCAGAATGGTTAGAGAAAGAAAGGATATGCCTTTATCCATTTTTTGCAGCAATTCCACTTTTTGTTTGATGGACATTGAAACATGCTTTCGCTTTGTGATCCTTTGGCAGCTCCAGAATCGGAAATTCTTTTTGACATAATCGAAAGGTCAAGTTAACTGAAATAGATAATTAGATAATTTTAGCTTAGCTTATACCGTCCGTTATACATTAAACGCACATGCGTAAAGGTATTATGTATTAATGCATGCGCAGAAAGTTTGTAGCTTTGAGATCTGGATTATGGGTCTGGATCATTCCGTATTATGGGTGTCCGGATTAAAGACTTTTGACTGTATCCAGAAAAATCCCAACTTCATAATCGCCGAAGTCCCGATGATTCCGCATTTCGGACTTTCTACTGTACTAGTTAGAGATGAGCAGTCCACTTTTGAACTGATTGGAATGACTGATTTGATAATTTTAAAACAAAAAATTCACTTTGCTAAATGAGTGCAAAGTGTAATTTGACGGAAAAAGTGCAGGAGCTCATTACAGTTTACTCGCCAAGAGTTCTTATCGAAAATGAAAGTTGATTTTCATTTTAGAGGAGAAATGAATGTTCCCCTTCTCATGTTAAAAATGAGTTTAATTTTTATCATTTTCCAACTATTTGAACATTTTCATATACCAGAGTTTGTTAATTCTGCCTAGAAAGGTTTTTAAAGAATTTTAAAACTTGGTTGAATCAATTCTCCTGATCCCACTTCTAACTTAATTCTTTCTGCTCTTTGCTCCATCCTTTCATTCCACTCTTGAATCATTCCCTGCTTCCAAGTTCATTTATCAAGGTTATTCTTAGTGAGTTGCAAGTGGTAATAAGAACTGATTCAGTGCAGTGATTGAACAGTTCAGATCTGAACCCACAAAGAATGGTTTTGCCTACCTCTATAACTAATATTTGTTTTTACATCTTTTGAAATTAAAAAGAAATTGAGGGAATTGGAGAAAGGAGCTCATTAATATCTGAAAGAAGCAAATAATAAATTTTATTTTTAAATCATTTTAATGTGGATATCCAGAGAGTCATTGCTTTTTAACTTAATAATCACTTGATACTTAGAATTGTTCTTAAGAATTTAAAATTGTCATTTGAAAACTTGAACAGATATTATGGAGATTTTCACATCATAATTACCCTATCTAATGCTTTAAAATATTTGGGTACTTATGTATTATCCTGTCAACTGCCAATTATGAATGACTGTGTCCTTTAGAATTCCGCAATGATTGGTGACCATTGGCAAAATTATTTTATGAATACTTTAAAATTGTCATTTGAAAGCAGATGATATGGAGATTTTCACACTGTAATTACTGTATCTAACATCTTTAAGTATTTGGGTATTTATGTTATCCTGTCGATTGGCCAGGTAGTGTGATTTAGTGCCAGTTATGGATGACCATCGAAAGGATAATACATAAGTACCAATATTTGTTAATAATTTTAATACTTTATGGTTATCTCATGCTTAGGTGCATGATCAACCAGCTTATGTCCAGTTGCAATTTATGGACCAAAAACATTTTACGTCTTGACCTCAGATTTCGTCGCAATTTTAATTTTGTTTAATATATATATAAAGTATCAACAAATATTACTGGATCAGATTTTTTACATTATTTTGATTTATTGCAGGTTTTAAAGAATAGAAAACTTTTTGGTTTAAAAATTATTTGTAGTATTATTAGCACACATTTGTATTTTATCAACACTTACTGCAAATAGTGAATATGATAAATTACCCTTTAAGTATTCTTCACCGTTGAAGCTTCTAAATCTTAATGAAAGTGTTAAGCATAATACTATGTATTTCATTGAAGTAGTAGATTCTCTTGTGTCATGTAAGCTTAGGAGATTAGCTCCAGATAGATTAAAAATTGCTGAAAATTAAATCCAAGAAATGATCAATTTAGGCCACATGCGAATCTCCTAAAGTAATTACTCTTCTACTTCACATATGATGTGAAAAAAGGCACAAATGAATGGAGACATGTGGGAGAAATACTGTGACAGCAAAGGATAGGTATCTTATTCCCAGCATTGCTGCAGAATTGCATGACACAAAAGTATTTTCTCATACAGACTTAGTAAAAGCCTATTATTAAATTCCCATTAATCTTTGTAATATTCACTTAACAGCTACTGCCATTCCTTTCAGACTTTTTGAGAGCACAAGAATGCAGTTAGGGTTGTCCAACGCAGCTGCAACATTTCAGTGGTTCATTGATAAAGTAACTCGTGATCTGGCAGGAGTATTTGCTTTTTTTGATGATACATTAATTGCATCAAAGCAAGAAACTGAGCATTTGACACACTTGAATAACTAAGTAATAATGAGTGAACAATTATTGTGTCTAAATTTATCTTTGATGTAACATCTTTAGAATTCTTATGTTTTCGTGGATCTGAACAGAGTTGAAAGCCCCACAGAGTAGAAGCCACTCAAAATTTCTCCAGACTTAGCATG